ACCATCACAACAACAACAACAACAACCACCACCATCACAACAACAACAACAACAACCACCACCATCACCACCACCACCACAAACAACAACAACAACCACCACAACAACAACCACAACAACAACAACAACAACCACAACAACAACCACAACAACAACCACAACAACAACAACCACAACAACAACAACCACAACAACAACCACAACAACAACCACAACAACAACAACCACAACAACAACCACAACAACAACCACAACCACAACAACATTCACCTGATCAAAGCCTTCCTCGTATTGTATGTGCAACAACAACAACAGCCACAACAACAACAACAACAACAACAACAACCACAGCCACAACAACAACAACCACAACAACCACAGCCACAACAACAACAACCACAGCCACAACAACAACAACCACAACAACCACAGCCACAACAACAACAACAACAACCACAGCCACAACAACAACAACCACAACAACAATAATAACAACAACAACAACCACAACAATAACAACCACAACAACAACACCAACAACCACAACAACAACCACAACCACAACAACATTCACCTGATCAAAGCCCTCTTCATACTGTATATGTGGAGGCAACAGCTGATGGTGCAGACGTTTGTGGTCGATGGCCTGCTCTATGTTCTCGCCGAGCCACATGTTGTGTACAGCCACCTGGGGGGAGATATAGAAGGGGGGTCATGGGGGGTCACAGTTAGGTCAAAGGTCACTGAGGACACACACGTGGTCTCTGGCCTGCTCTATGTTCTCGCCGAGCCACATGTTGTGTACAGCCACCTGGGGGGAGATATAGAGGGGGGGTCATGGGGGGTCACAGTTAGGTCAAAGGTCACTGAGGACACACACGGGGGGGGGTCACAACTAGGTCATAGGTCACTGAGGACACACACGGGGTCTATGGCCCGCTCCATGTTCCCCCCTAGCCACATGAGGACACACACCAGGTCACAACTAGGTCAGAGGTTACTGGGGACACAACTAAGTCAGAGGTCACAGTGCTCACAACTAGGTCAAATGTCACCTGGGGACATAAAGGTCCGCAACAAGGTCAAAGGTCACCCCATGACACAGTGAGTCATAGCAAGGTCAAACTGGGTTACAACTACGTCAAAGGTCACCCCATGACACAGTGAGTCATAGCAAGGTCAAACTGGGTTACAACTACGTCAAAGGTCACCTGAGGGGACAGCGGGTCACAATTAGGTCATAGGTCATTATGAGGACACAGAGGGTTACAACAATGTCAAATAAAATTTCAATTCCCCATTCTTATCTCACTTGTTTGTTTGTTTGTTTAGTATAGGGTTTTACGGCACTCGCAACATTCTTATCTCACTGATCCAGGAATTGATTTCCACGGTTTCGCTTTTAGTGTGTTTTACAGCAGCAGATAATTATGGGCCCTCCAGGCCTTGAAATAGCCAAAATAGACATCAGCTGCCCCACCAGCCCTTTACTCTTTAAACCCTGAGTTTTTTTTCCTCGGTTTCCCGGAAATTTTTCTACAGTCACCTAAACCTGGTGCACTCTGTCTCATTATAACCCTAAAAGCTTGTCTCCAACTTCTAGAATCTAAATGGCGGAAACAAAGGATTAGTCATTTCTAAAAAAACTTCCTTGGTTCGGAAATAGTTAGGAAAAACAAGCCAAAACTAGCGCTAAAAAAAAGAAAACAGTTGTCACCAGTTTGGACGCTCCCAGCATGTTGTCACCAGTTTGGACGCTCCCAGCGTTCCATGGAGTAAAAAGAGTTAAAGCGGGTTCGACTGAACACGGTAAACAAACCCCTACCCAAGCGGTTGCCGTGGTGATCTTGGAGCCTCCAAAACCATAAATAAGACCTACCCAAGCGGTTGCCGTGGTGATCTTGGAGCCTCCAAAACCATAAATAAGACCTACCCAAGCGGTTGCCGTGGTGATCTTGGAGCCTCCAAAACCATAAATAAGACCTACCCAAGCGGTTGCCGTGGTGATCTTGGATCCTCCAAAACCATAAATAAGACGTACCCAAGCGGTTGCCGTGGTGATCTTGGAGCCTCCAAAACCATAAATAAGACCTACCCAAGCGGTTGCCGTGGTGATCTTGGAGCCTCCAAAACCATAAATAAGACGTACCAGAGAGTATTTAATTATAGAGAGCGGAAACGAAGCCTCTTTTCGCGTATCCAGGTCACCAGCTGATTGTGAAACGAGGCGCGGTAAACAAAGCTAATGGCGGCTGTCGGCAGTCGCAAGTCACCTGCAAGTGTAAGTGGTGTTTTGCGGCAGTCTGCGTCCGTGCCAATTCAAGATCGCATAAATACCAGACCTAGCATTATTTAGCTTTCCAAAGGACCCTGAAATGTAAGAATTTGCACATGTACTTTTTCATTAACCTTACATAATATCGTTTTTCTCTTGTGTAGGCCTAACTAGATCTAGATCTAGAATCCCAGAGATATAGATATCTAGATCTAGAATACCTAGACTCTAGACCTAGAATCCCAGAGATATAGATATCTAGATCTAGATTCTAGATATAGATATAGATATCTAGATCTCAAGATCTAAATTAGATAATAGATTGTAGATCTAGTATCAGTGTCCAGGTCAATTAGATCTAGAATCTAGTACTAAATCTAGATCTAGATCTAGATCTCTAGAGTCTAGGTCTAGAAGTAAGGGCCTAATTAATGCAGTGGGTCTACTAGGACCCGATCTAGATAGATGTAGATCTATCGTTGGGCCTTATTATCATAGCATAGACCTATTACATGTATAATGTTTGCCTCCACTACACTCCTTCCTCTACTTCTTCACAGCACAGGCGACAGTGCAGTCGATTAGCCTTAGTTCGTCACGTCATGCCAGTGCATGGGCAGGAGGACGAAACATTGTTAAACTTTACTAGATCTAGATCTAGATCTATAGCTAGCGAATAAAACACGTTTTTCTGGGGGCTCTGACCGTGGTCTATAGAATGTAGAGCCTGAGTTACAGTGTTTGCTCTCATTCAATAGGTTTGAAACATGACTGGGACAGACATTTTTCTTCTCTAAAGTTTTCTTTTTTCACCACCCAGCTCTAAGTTCTGTCGTCTGTTTTTCCTCCTCACTTTCTGCCCCCTCCCCCCCCCCCCCACTCACACACCCCTTTTGACTCCTCTTCTGGCGCATCTGGGGCTCCTGGCTCTTTCTGCAGCCTTTACTACTACTACATTTGTACCTACTACTGCCACTCATTGGCCCCTTCTATCTGACTGCTGTCTTTCAGTCACCTGATCTTATGGTAAGTAAGATCTAACACATAGCCTTCTCGGATAAGGGCGAAAAATCTTGGAGGTCCCGTAAGTTGCGCAAGTTAAGGATCCCTTGGTGTTCTTAAAATCAAAAGAGTAGGCTAAGCTTTGGCCCCCACCTGGGCAAAATTAAAAATTCTTACCAAACTGAAAAAGTTGAATGTGCCCGCCTGTTCATATGAGACCTATGCTGTCGCAGGCGCAGTAAAGCGCCCCCCCCCCCCCCCCCCCCCCTTTCCTAAAAAAAAAGAAAAGAAAACACGCCAAAAAAGTGTTTCAAGTGATCTGAAAGAATTTTTTGGGGATCACCCAGCACTGAGTTCCCCTTTAATTCTTCATCAATTTGAGACTGATAGTTCCATTTTTTAAAAGTAAAAAATTACATTATCATCGCCTTCATATTGATTTTGGGGGGGGGACCCCCCAACACACACACACACACACACACACACACACACACACGCTCACTCACACTGTAGACCTGAGAATGCATCTGTAGGCTATGTGGCGCTTTGACTCCACCTCTGCAGAACTGACTAGATCTAGATAGAGTTGTGAAACATATTTAGTATTTAATTTTTTTTTTAATTCAAGCTTCTCATCAGAATTAAACCAATCCAAATATGCCAGGCAAGATTCAACTTTATTGTATGAAAACTAGATGTGGGATGTATGGCATTTAACTCTATCCCAAAAAAATTTGTTTTAAAATCTCCAGTAGATGTACTCACTAAAAACTGTTAGATCTAATCAATCAAGCACTTATATTTCTCTTTTATGAAATGAAACTAAATGAGTAGACCTATATTCTATGTATAGATCTATGAATTTTGCAATATTTAGCATCTAACTGCACACGTGAGAATATGGGCCACCACAGTGTATTGTTTATTGTGAGCACCGGTCTTTTGTATAGGAGGCCTGCTGTAAAACTCTGTGTTACAATCTAAGTTTTTCGCACTCCTACCAAAAAATTATAATTTATTTCTGATGTTTAAAAAAATGGGTTATGAATTATCGGAAGGCTGACTTTGGTTCTTAAAATAGCATAAGTCACCTATACGTGTACCATGGGAATGCATTGTGCGCTGAGCAATTTGAACTGTACGTACTGCCTTTGGAAATCTGCATCTTGAACAATTCTAGTGCAGAATGATGTGGCCATGCTGTTTACTGTTCCAAACCCTCCAAAATAAATAATTATTGTTCCCTCCAGACCAGTTCCAAAGAATACAGGTCCTGTCCATGACAAAAGACCTAATAGTGTCTGCAATGTGATGTGAGAGTTTTGAAGAAGAAATTAAAAGTGGAAGAAAAAAAACCTTGACATCTAAGAAGACAATGTCCTGTTGTAATAAATGTACTACGGAATAATGTAACAAAATTAAAGAGACAAAAAAAAATTACAAAGCTTACTTAATTATTATTAAGTAAGGAAGTGCTAGCTTGACCCTGTCAGGACCACCCTTGAGTTTTGTAATGTTCCAAATTTATGTGCCTGACAGAGAAGTATGGACATAATATACAAAAGAATCAGCAAGAGACAATGCATACAGCAAAACAGTCTAAGAAAGACTGTCACATTCACCAACTTAATTGTAAGAGCCAGTTTCAGTAAAGTGCTATTAATCCATGAAAGATGCATTATACATGTTTATGTATACATATATATATATATATATATATATATATATATATATATATATATATATATATATATATATATATATATATGTTTTTTCCATATGCCTAGCCTAGGCTACACAAAACGAAATCTGTTTTCTATTTCTACAGTCTGTTGCCTTTTCTCACCATTGCCTATAGGCATCTATATGCTATTGCATGCTCTCTTTCTTTCCTCTCCAACTCTTCCCTACCCACAGACCCCATGCAGGGCTATGTAACTAATTAGTAAAATAAGTAAAATGTATTAACCTTTATAAGGCTATCTTAAATTAAACTGCTTGTCTTGTAAGCTAGATATCTAGATCAACGCGTGTATTTAGGCTAAGGCAGGCATATTTTTATTATGCTGGAAACCTATAGATATAGAATCTAGATCTAGAGTCTAGATGACTTTTGACCTAAGCCGCAGAAAGCTAGGCCTAGGCCCTCTAGACGCGACGCGCTTCGCTGTCGATACCGCGCCTGGTTATTTTTAGCTCGCGTCTCAGCGGTCACATTCGCAAATGCACTGTTGTCACGGACCGCGAGGCCTCGTTTCCTGTCTCTATATTTTAGTGTCTCTGGACGTACCCAAGCGGTTGCCGTGGTGATCTTGGAGCCTCCAAAACCATAAATAAGACGTACCCAAGCGGTTGCCGTGGTGATCTTGGAGCTTCCAAAACCATAAATAAGACGTACCCAAGCGGTTGCCGTGGTGATCTTGGAGCTTCCAAAACCATAAATAAGACGTACCCAAGCGGTTGCCGTGGTGATCTTGGAGCCTCCAAAACCATAAATAAGACCTACCCAAGCGGTTGCCGTGGTGATCTTGGAGCCTCCAAAACCATAAATAAGACGTACCCAAGCGGTTGCCGTGGTGATCTTGGAGCCCCCGGCAGCCCCCAGCACTTTGTTGACGCTCCCGTCAGGGTGGAGGAAGACGGCGGGGCACATGGAGGAGAGCGGCCGCTTCCCCGGGACGATGAAGTTAGCGGGCGACGGGAACAGGCCCCACTCGTTGGTGATGTTTGGCGAGGAAAAGTCGTCCATCTCGTCGTTGAAGATGATGCCCGAGCGCATGCCGCGGCGCTGGGAGCCAAACCTGCCGTGACGGGGATCAAGAGGGGACGCAGAGTTTAGTTGTTTTTTTGTTGTAATTCTAGTTTTAGTTTTAGTGAGAGTTTTAAGGCACTTGCAACACAATTAGGTCACATAAGTGCCGAAGATTAGAGGTATTACTAGAATTTAACATCCAAAAATAAGAGGAGAGATAAGGACGATAGATGTTTAGTTTTTTAGTTTTAGTAAGAGTTTTATGGCACTTGCAACACAATAAGGTCGTATAAGTCCCGAAGATTTAGAGGTTTTTAGTTTTAGTTTGTAGAAGTTTTACGGCGCTCGCAACTGCATAAGGTTATATGAGCGCCAAAAGATTAGAGGTGTTACAAGAGAGTAACAAACACAAAAAAGAAGGAGGGGAGATAAAGACGATAGATGTTTGACAGGAAAAAAAGGGCAAACCACACCAGAGCATCCGCCAACTACCCACCACCACCACCACCACCACCACCAACAACAACACTACCACCACCACCACCTACCTTGCGTTGACGGTGCTAGTGACGGACACAGCGCTCCCGTCCTGGTCCAGCACCGACAGATGCGACGTGCTGGTCGTGTTGCGACTGTAGAAGGTCGGCCCGTAGTACTCGTAGCCAAACGTACGCGTATCGGAGATGAGGCCGCGGGTGTAGTCAGCGTACGCCTTCGAAGTCAGGTTCTTCACCAGCTGCCGACAACAACAGCAACAACATTATCTATAGAAACAACAACAACATTACTAATAGCAACAACAACAACAACATGACCAGCAGCAACAACAATAAAGGGATAAATGAAGTTATTGGTATCACCTTAATGGTTGTTCATTCGCCTTGCTTTCGATGAAATAAAAATACGAATTTATCTTGAACAGAAGTCGAGATATTTGTGGTTGAAGGAGGTGGGGTCACCTAGTTTCAAAATAAAATTAGCCAGAAAATGGCTGCCAAAGTTTTGTGACTTCAATAGCTCAAGAGTTCCTGGAAACTGCGAATTTACACCTTTCATGCCACTAATCGGCGTTTTTCCATTAAATCCATTCATAAGTATGTTTTTGAATGGATATACAAGGTGTTAAGCCAAAATACAAAAATTCGGAAAAAAATTCCAAATAGCCGAAAAACACAAGATTTCTCCGATTTCATTATTCTGATGAGCGCCAGATTTCCCCACGATGCTTCATAATCTGTGCAGAAGACAGACGATGTTCCTGGAGAGTAACATACAGAGAAAAGAGGGAGGAGAGAAAAGTTTTAGTTTTAGTAAGAGTTTTACGGCACTTGCAACACAATAAGGTCATATAAGTGCCGAAGATTAGAGGTGTTACAAGAGAGTAACAAAAACAAAAACAAAAAAGGAGGGGAGATCATAGGACGATAGACATTTGATAGGAAAGAAGGAGCAAACCCCACCAGAGCACCCACCAACCATCCACAGTGTTAGTTTAGTATTAGTACAGAGTTTACAGCACTTACTACAAAAATAGGTCATATGTGTGAAGAAGATAATAATAATAATAATACATGTAATAAATAGCATTTGTATAGCGCATATCCCCGCTCAACAGCAGGCTCTATGCGCTT